AAAAAAAAGCAAAGCAATGAATTCATCAATGAAGTAAATAAATTCATTTGTGAGCAGTGGATGGAAATTTGACATTTTCACACTACAACTCTAGTAAAGGGAGGAGTGTAGATGACTAGACAAGAGAAAAAACATCTTCTAATAAACATGTAGTCTATCTTAAAACAAACTGCACAAAGTAAGTGAAAATTTAAATAGATATTTAAATAACAAGCACACACAAAAACAATTAAGAAGAAAAAATATTTTAAAGACAATATAAGCACACAAAAGAAGTAAAAACTTGCGTGAAATCGATGGTCTAACAGTGACAGTAACACAGAAACAAAACAAGGCCAAGGCTGTTACATTTCCCTCCCCCCACCCAAAACTCCTTACTGGTTGTTACATGGTGCAAATTCATAAAAATTATACAACAGTGATACATATTACTTTCCAAAATTTAAAATAAATCATATCTCCTACTATAAAACATTCTTCAATGCCGTTTAAGAGGTAATAAACGCCAACAATACACGTTAGCGTGGGTTAAGTTCGCTTTCCGCAATGGCCGCCATGACCTCCCGGTTCACGCTCAGCAGCGCGATCGATAATAGGTCATGCCCATTCATGGAGAGTGACCTATTTAAATTAGGGCTCACACGCTTATGCCTCAACGTACAACATTGAAATTAACAAATAAAAGGTTGAAGAAAAGACTGTGAGGAGTACCTAAAAAAAAAAGATAAACTCTTTAAATATAAAGGCTTGAACTTACCTTATTTTTAACTCCTTGTAACTCCGAACACACACAACCGATCCCGAAGTGGAAAACGCCATAATACGCGCCTTTCTTTCCTCTTTAATTTGATAGGCGGAAGTAATCCATAAATTGAAAAGAACACTATAAACGAAACAAAACAAATAGGTACCCCCCTCACGGGGCCCGATTTCTCACACAAAACGCGGCGGCCGCAGGTGAACGAAAATCTCGGGCCGCGCGGGCCGATATCCAAGTGCCTAATCAAGGCCGTGAGCATACTTCTATCTAAATCTAAGGGCCGTACGCATAGCTATGAGGCTATGCGTACAGGAGGGCTGTAAAAAAAAACAACCGAATTTGACCATGATTTGATGTTTTGCAGAGTTGGCTGTCGTTATTCTCACCTGAGGTGAAAATAAACATATAATATTATTCTCACGCGGGGTGAGAATATATTCATTTTGTTCTCACCCGCGGTGAGAATAATATTATATTGTTTAGAATAAAATGGGTATTATTCTCACCCGGTCTGAGAATGCAATGGATTTTTATTCTTACCTGGGTGTTGGGAACAGGTAGCTTTTATGCCTACATGTAGGCTAATAGAATGATAGAAAATAATTTGTGAATAGTGAAATTTTTAGATTTTGTATTACAATTTTAAAAAATTTTCTATCACCTTTTGTGTCATCAGGAGATATATTGCTATCCATCTTTGACCAGAGAAGTTGAGAGGCTGTTCACTGTACTGCAAATGGTCGTCTGTTTATAGTGTAACTGGTGAAGCCTCGACCCTACCTCTCCTGTTGTTCTTGAATCATGGATCCGGAATACGAGAAAAGACTGCTACGTCAGCAGAATGGACAGATGGCTCCTTTTGGAATGGTAATTGTATTTATAAGTTTTGTTGTGTGATTATGTGGAACGGTAATTGTACAAGGTGGGAGTGGGTGGTTGGCTGGTGTTGTGGTGTGGTTTGCTCTTTCTTTCCTATCAAATATCTTTCGTCCTGATCTCCCCTTCTTTTTTATGTTTGTTACTCTCTTGTGACACCTCTATTCTTCGGTACTTACATGACCTTATAATTGTGTTGCAAGTGCAGTAAAACTCTTACTAAAAGTAAACGAGCTGAGATCTCTGTGTGTGTAATAATTTGCTATGACTAATTAACTGAGACCTCTGCTATGGACTGATCAAATGGGAACCCTCTGATTTTTTTTACCATATCAAAGAATCTTGATTGGATTTGCAGAAAATCTGGTATTTTTCCTTAGATTTGGTCTCAATTGGTGGTTTGCAACTTATCACAATGGCTTCTTGAAAGGGTTTATTTGCAATATTTGCTTGACTTATCATAAATTATGTGAAAATATTGAGGTTTCTTTGCAATATTTTTGCAGTTTATCGTATTGACATGAAAATTCAATGTCTAATTAATTGGGATTGTGGGGGCTCCCAATTTATTTTTTTACCCAAACTCCAATTATTAGGGCGGATTCTGAGGAAAACTCCAATTTTTGGTCATGGAGGGTTTGTCAGGTCTTTGGTGTGAACTCCCCACAGCTGGGGTTGTGTTTGCTTATGTTTGCTGTTGATGCGCTTAGAGGAGGAGATGTGTTAAAGGGTTTGTCAGGTGTGTAGTGATAACGCCCCACTGCTGAGGTTGTGTTCGCGCTTTTGTTTGCTGTTGATGTGTGCACAGAGTAGGAGACTTTGTGTCAAAGTCCAGGTTTGGTAATGGGAGCTGTAGAGGGGTGGGGGATCCTGTAAAGTGCTTGTGTTGGTCCTGAGTGGGTTGACATCAGACTGAAGCTATGTCGTTTTTTGCTCCTGTCATGATTTGAGCTGCTTCTTGACTCGATACTCAGCCTGGTGTCCTGTGTGTGGGGTGGAGAATTTGGGTCTGTGTGTATGTTTGTGGGGGGGGGGGGGTGTCTTGATAATAATGATTGTAATGATTCTTTGGGTTTATAAGGGAGACATTTATGAGTGCAAGTTGTTCACCAGAACCCAAGACACTGAAGAGACTGGTGCTGAGGCCCAATGAGGATGTTGTGTTCAGCTCAAACTGAAATTAGATATAAAATTTGTTCCTTTCGCAAAAGTTGTCTGAACACTAAGATATTATTTTTTGAGAAATAATTTACTGTTCTTTTTTTTTCCAGCCTATGTTTGCCAGCCCAGTTGTCTCTCCAAGTAAGAAGATTTATGGCGACAGATTCATTCCAACCAGAGCTAGTCCTTGCTGGCATATCAACTTTGACCTCAACCAAGTAAGTTGTCAGCAGTGGACACTTTGATTTGTTAATGTCATCTACTTGCTGCGTTGTGCACTTTGTTGGTTTGGCTTTTCAGGTGCTATGTCGGCAGTGTTATTGGCAGGCTGCAAGACTAATGAACTAGGTGAAAATGTGCCGTCTGTTTTTGTTTTGTGTTTGCCAAAGTATTGTGTGTTGGTTACTGATAAAGACTGAATCATGTGTCTGTGCTACCAGTTCAGTTTTTTCCAGAGATGTGTTTTGCCCTCGTATTACACAGTATATAGCTTGACTTTTCAAACTTTAGGCAGTTTTGTCTTTGATCTCTGGACTAACCTTTCACCTGCATAAAAGTTTTGAATTGAAATGGAATGCTTTCTTTTTTCCTTGCAGCCACAAACTCCAAGCTCAACTCTGAAAGCAAAAGATTCAAACAGTGAAACCTCCAAAGATGGTCTTGCATATGCTTGCCTCTTGAAAAATGAACTGCTGTCTGCTGGGATTGAAGATTTAAAGGTGGGTGAATTATTTTTTTCCCCCTAGAAGTACTCGATGAATAATGTTGAGACTATTCTGAGTGATGATAGTATATCATGTATATGATCTGCTCATTTTGCTGGAGTAAGGATGGTGTAAGTATCGGTGACCCAGCCACAGTTGTTTAGTCGGTTGGTGTGATCAAAGTGCTTCATTAGATTGCTGCTCACAGTTCTTCTTTTTTTCTTAAAACCGGACCAGAGCATACATACAATTTAGGACACACAAAAAAAGAACTGCAAGACATTATATAGTTGCTGTATTCACACCATACCGACATACTCTTCAGTTTTGTTGATAGGTGAGGTGTAAATTTTATCAGAAAGGCAAACAATATCTACAGACAATTATTAACTCATTCAAGACAGAAACAGTATGTTTATGAATTACTTGAATGTAGAACTATGATCTCAGGGAGACGGGGTGCGCCATGTTTCCTCGCCCCTCTTCATAAGGGTCCATTTCAGTGTATGAATTACATTTTTTGATTATCGTAGTAGAGGTAATATTTTCCGCAATATTTTACCCTTTGTTATATATGATATTTATGTATGTGTGTATGTATACATATGCATGTAGTGACTTAAATAACTTTTCTTTCTGGCAGGATCTGCATACAGAAGACAAGAAAGTCCTCGCTCCCAAAGAAACAAAAAATTTATTCAAAGTAAGAAGTGGTTACGTTGTCGTGGGGTGGGGGTGAGAGCTGTTTTTGTCATATTTCTTTGCTGTGTATAAAGTAACAATCGTGTGGTGCCGGGGCGGCTTGTGGTAAATACAGGGTGTTGAGGAAGTCATCAGTTGTATGGTTTGCTCTCATCAACTGTAAACATTTGTGTGTTACATGATGGGGGGGGGGGGGGGGGGGGGCATGTACTTTGCAATTTTTGAGCAGAGGAAGTTTTTGGTATCATAATAAAACCTGTACAGTTGCCTAGCTTTTGGTGAACAAATAAAATTCGTTTATCATAAAAAGATGACGAGATGTTTGCTATTGCCTGGTATGAGGAATAAAATTTGCAAGAAAATGGCCGTCAAAGTTTAGTGACTTCCAAAGCTGTAGTGTCCTTACAAACTGTTCATAACTTTGGTATTATTGTAACCATTGGTATTATTGTAACCATTGGTATTATTGTAACCATACAGGAATTTCCTAGTGAGTGTCTAGCGGGTACTCTGTTGTGGTTTGCTCCTTTCCTATCAATTGTCTATATTTCTTATATCTCCTTCTTTTCTTTGCCCGTCACTCTCTTGTAACGCCTCTATTCTTCGCTCTTGTATGACCTAATTGTGTTGCAAGTGCTGTAAAACTCCCTGTGGGTGGTTGGCGGGTGCTCTGGTGTGGTTTGCTCCTTCTTTCCTATTAAACATCTGTCGTCCTTATCCCCCCACCCCCCTCCTTTTTTGCGTATGTTACTCTCTTGTAACACATAATCTATTCTTCTGCACTTATATGACCTTATTATGTTGCAAGTACCGTAAAACTTACTAAAACTAAAGCATGTCACTCTCTTGTAACACCTCTAGTTGCAAGTGCTGTAATACTCTCCCTAAGACATGCAAAGTGTGTTGTCTGAAACGGGTGCTGTGTTCTGTCCTCAGTTCCACACACCGCGGCGCTGCTCCGACGGCTGCGACGTCTCCCCATACTCACTCTCTCCTGTTGGCAGCAAAAGTCAGAAGCTCCTGAGGTCACCACGAAAGGTCAGTACTGGGTCAAGGGGTTGGAGGTGGGTGTGTGTTTTTTTTTTGTGTGTGTGGACAGTTATTATAGTAATTGACACTGACTTGTAAAAGTAAAAAGGTTGGGTAAGGATGGTTGTAGGGTTCCACCAGTAGTTCCTTTACTTGTCTTTCCCTCTGTTGTCTCTGTCTCTCGTTTTCCCATCACTAAGTGACTGTTATTGTGTCCTTGTGCTGCTTTTAACTCAAATAAATCCGTGGGTGGTTAGCGGGTGCTCTTCTGCGGTTTGCTCTTTCTTTCCTATGAAACATCTGTCGTCCTTATTTCCCCTCCTTCTTTTTTGTGTTTGTTACTTTCTTGTAACTTCTCTAATGTTTGGAACTTATATAACCTAATTCTATTCCAAGTGCCTTAAGTCTCTTACTAAAACTATCTCTACTCCTTTGTGTTACTCTTTAGTGACCCCCCAGGGCAGTGCCACTGACTGTAGTGTCTTTGGGCCATTCCCTACGGAGGGACATTTCTTCTTCAAGCACAGTGGAATTGTAAATGGGCTGATTCATGTCACGCTCATAACTGTGCCTGATCTACAACTCGGAACTGCTGCTTTTTCTCTCCTAATCCTTACTATTGTCATTTTCCTCTACTTTTTTTGTATGTCTGTTGCACGCTTGTGACCCGCTATTTCCGGGGTGCCTTGATTGTCGAGGCAGACCTTGTGCTGTTGAAGTTAGAGAGGTGAGAAGAGTAAGTCTGATTCCCTGTAAAGACTTCTCTGTTGACACCCACCCCTTGGCGCTCATATGACCTTATGCAGGTGCAAGCGTCGTAAAACCCTCTACTATAAAAAAAATAAATAAATAATGCTCTTTAGAGGCACCTCTAATGATCAACACCCTCATGTCCCTATTGTGTTGCAGGTGCCGTAAAACGCTCACTAAACTTAAACATAGAGAGGTGGCCACCCTCATTCACAAAGGTTTTTTCCATTATCTGCTCCTGCAGGCTGTGCGGAAAATCTCCAAGATTCCATTCAAAGTTCTGGACGCGCCGGAGCTACAGGACGACTTCTACCTGAACCTTGTGGACTGGTCATCCCAGAATGTGCTGAGTGTGGGACTGGGCACCTGTGTGTACCTGTGGAGTGCTTGTACTAGTCAGGTACTGATGCTGTGTGTGTGTACCTGTGGATTGCTCGTACTAGTCAGTTACTGATGCTGTGTGTGTGTGTACCTGTGGAGTGCTTGTTGTTTGTGATGGGGAGTGGGTGTACTAGTCAGGTACTGATGTGTGCGTGTGTGTGGAGTTCTTATACCTGTCAGTAACTGATGCTGTGTGTGTACCTGTGGAGTGCTTGTACTAGTCAGGTACTGATGCTTTGTGTGTGTGTGTGTACCTGTGAAGTGTTTGTGTGTGTGCCTGTGGAGTGCTTGTTGTGTGTGATGTGGAGTGGGTGTACTAGTCAGGTACTGATGCTGTGTGTGTGTTTGTGTACCTGTGAGGTGTTTGTACTAGTCAGGTACTGGTGCTGTGTGTGTGTGTGTACCTGTGGAGTGCTCGTACTAGTGGGGCACTGTTGCTGTGTTTGTGTGTACCAGTGGAGTGCTAGTTTGTGTGTGTGTGTGTGTACCTGTGGATGGTTGTTTTGTGTGTGTTTGCCTGTGGAGCGCTTGTACCAGTCAGGTCCTGATGCTCTGTGTATGTATGTGTGTGTGTGGGGGGGGGGGATGACAGACTTAATGCTTTGCCTGCCAGTAGTGGCTGCTAACAGGTCAAATAGGATCATCACACTTAAGCTCGCAGGGAAGAAAGACATGTGGCAATGGCATGGTTGGAAATTTGGAGGCTCTTGAAAGCTTCATAAAAATGCTCTCCGGCTCCTTATTTTTATTAGAAGTTTGTTTTCTTTTTGATAATCACAGTTTCTTCTTTGTTTTTTTGTTTTGTTTTTTAAGTCCTACCCATTCCTATTAACTGGTGCTTTAGTAGTTCCCTCAAAGTGTGCCATTATACAACTTGTTAAAGTTAACTGAGGATGTTGTTCTTGTTTGGTTTGAAAATTTTGTATAAGACATTCTGTCTTGTTTGGTGTAATGTCATTGGCCAAGGGAATTAGTAGAACTGTATCAGATTCAGATCAAGAATTGTTGTTTGGTGAATGTCTTTAGCTTATGTTTTGTCTGTCTTTGTAATACTCAGTATATGGTGGGGGGGGGGGGGGGTTAGAATTGAAATAGTATTTCAATCCAAAAAGTATTGTGTATCCCCAACTTTCTCTATACCTCTATTCTACGTCTGAGACAAAGTGTCTAAAACCGAAGTTCTGTGTCTATAACGGTCAGTGGTTGAATAGTTCTTTGCTTTGAAGGTTTCCCTGTTTCTGTTTTCTGTTAGGTAATTCTTAAAGTGTACATTTCCATTAGGGATTGACATAATTCTATAATTCTGGCCGTGGTATGGTGAAGAAGAGTTGTCGCCGGGGTGGCTTTGTGTGAGCGGACAAGTTGCCTTCCAGTAAGGGAAACCGACACATGATGTGCCACACGCACGCACACACACACACGATGCGCGGCTGTAGTGTGATGATCCTGACTGTAGCACTCCCCGCCCAGAATGTTGGTTCGACCTCCCTGTTTTAACTATGAGAATCTTGTGCAGGTGACCAGACTGTGCGACCTGGCCTCGGACAACGACACAGTTACGTCGGTCTCCTGGTCAGAGAGGGTGAGTCTTTGACTAGCTCAGATGAGATAAGATAAGACAAGACAAGTGTAGATAAGATGAGACAGGATAAGATAATACTGTGGGAAATGTTCTGTGACTTTATAGGAGTGGCAAAAACACATGAAGATATACTCAGAATTTAAATGATTTATTACTTTTTATAAAAAGAATTTCAATATGAAGGGAAAAACAAAAGCTGACAACAATACATGTCACATCAGGTGCATCTCTCAATTGACATGCAGGAACTTATCTCACATTTTGAACATATATTTCATATCTGGGATTTCAAATAAAAGCACATTTCTGAGTTGATTTTACTGAAAAATATCCATCAAAGACACGAAAAAGAATGAAAATTATTTTACATGGCCAGTTGGCACCTCTGTTGTATGTCTCATTTATTTGAGTTTGTTTTTTTCTTTTATCAGCTGTTCTCTGTTAACATCCACCTCTTGGCGCTCATATGACCTTATGCGGTTGCGAGCGCCGTAAAACATGTACTAAAACTAAACTAAAACCTGTACTAAATGCCCTGTTATTGTTCTCTAAGAAGTCATCCCTTGACTGTGCTTCACTTGTGCTTTGTCATCAGAACCTAAAACCTAGTGTCCAGCAAAATTGTGACAATTCAAAAATTTCGGGGGGGGGGGGGGGGTGTTGGATCTGCACTCCATTTAAATTTTCCCTTTTCAATAACTTTTGAGTATTTGTTAAATATATGTATTGAGATGTTAATTCCAAACTAAGAAAGAAAGAATTAAGTAGGCACTAAAGTGATTTGTTCAAAGAAGTATGTCCTACCTTTGGCTGTGTTTCCCCTGCTTAGGGCAATCAAGTCGCTGTGGGAACAAACAAAGGCTACGTGCAGATCTGGGATGTTTCAGTCAGCAAAAAAGTTCACACCTTGACAGGTCACAGTGCCAGAGTTGGTGAGTATATGACATGACATATGTACAGTTGAACTTTTGGTAAAAACCTTGCCTTGCTCTAAAAGCCATGCTGCTCTGTGGTGTGTAGTTAAGTGTGGTCCAAGTTTCTCTTTGTTGTTTCTCCAAGATATGTGGGTGGTTGGCGGGTGCTCTGGTATGGTTTGTTCCTTCTTTCCTATCAAATTTCTATCGTCCTTTTATCTCCTACTTCTTTTTTATGGTCTATTTGTGTTCGCAAGTGCCGTAAAATTCACACTCCCGACTGAAAACTTACCCAAACACCCAGCCCCATGGGTACCTGTGGGAAAGGGCAGAGGTGACCAGTATTTTAGCTTTTGGTTACTCTATAGGTTGTCAGTAGGGTGGTTGGAGGGCACCACTGATGGGTCGTACTTCTTTTGTTTCCTTCTGTTGTATCTGCTAGTGCTGGTGGTTGGAGAGCACCACTGGTTGGTCCTACTTCCTTTTTTTCCCTCTATAGAGTTTATCTATCTGTCTTGCTTCTTTCCTTCACTATATAACATTTTTTGTGTTGATGTGCTTTTCTCTACTCAGAGCCATGCCCTGCCACTGACTGAAGTGTCTTTTCGCCATTCTCAAAGGGGGGATATTAATATGTTCTTTTGCACAGTAGATTTGTAAATGGGCTGACTTATCAATGTCATGCTCGTATTTTGCTGAAACAACATTGGGGGAACTGCTGCTTTTTCTTTCCTCGTCCTTACTATCGTCATTTTTCCTTTACTTCTTTTGTATGTTTGTGGCTTTCTTGTGAACTGTTGTTTCCGGGGTGCCTTGATAGTCGCAGCAGACACTTTGTGCTGTTAAGGCTAGAGATGTGAGCAGAGAACGCTGTGATTCCCCAGTTGGACTTCTCTGTTAATATCCACCCCTTGGCGCTCATATATACAGTTGCGAGCGCCGTGAAAACCTTACTAAAGCTAAATCTCTACTCAAAATCAGAGGCTGTCAGTTGTGCTGGGCATTGACTTACATTTTCGTCGACTAGATGTGCGGGTTAACTACCTGAAATTTACTGGATATAACTGGGTCAGCCTGGACTTCACGTCTGTTCAGCAACATAATCCCAAACCCAAGCTTGCTTCCCTCTCGACTTGTGGCTGGTTGATTTACATCTAGATCCAACCCAGTTTATGTTTGGCTCTCGAGAGTTGCGGATCATTCTGGATTTGTTTCTTGCATTGAGGCCCCTTTTTAAATTTTGTTGTTGTCTTTTAACATTTAGAATTTGAATTTCAACACTATTTCGTGTCTGCATGCAACCGAAAACACAGATTTAAAAAACTGCACTTATTATTTTATTTTTTTAATTTACTTGGTACATTTGAACAGCTTTCTGAAAATATGTTTTTCCAACAACCCCCTGTCTGTCTGTTTTGTACAGTGTACAGATGCTCTGGAGCGGGTTTGCTTCTTATTTTCTATCAAACATCTACCTCCCTGATCTCTCCTTTTTTTGTTTGTTACTCACTTTTACCTTTGGCATTTGTATGACCTTAGAATTGTGTTGCAAGTGCCATAAAACGTCCACTAAAACAAAGCCCCTGGCTGTCTGTGTGTACAGGAGCTCTTGCGTGGAATGGAGACATGTTGTCCTCGGGCAGTCGCGACAGGTTGATATTGCAGCGAGACATCCGGACTCCTAATTCCACACCCGAGAGGAAGCTCATCGGCCACAAGCAAGAGGTGAGTCTCTGGTTGTTGTGTGCAGCAAAGTGAGAGGACGAGACAGTAGGACAGTGATTGGACAAAACAGCAAAATGATGGGACAGTACAGCTAAGTGAGAGGACAGAACAGTAGGAAAGTGGTAGGACAATACAGCAGGAAAGTGTTAAGACATAAAAACAGCAAAGTGGGAGGACCAAATCTGTTGTCCAGCTGTTGTATGCAGCAAAGAGCAGGGTATCGGAAAATAGGGGACCCGGTCAAATGCCAATAAATGGGTCATCTTCAATCCAATTTGAACTAAATTTTGAACAAATAAAGAGCAACCAATGGGGTGTCAAGTTGGTAAATATAAAGAAAACCAGTCTACTTGTGAAGGAAATGTCAAGTTTTGAAAATTTCAACTTTAACACATTACACACTAAGGGCCTGGACGAGAAGTCCATTGTTAGATCATAAGCAAGGGGAAGGAACCCACCTCCCGTGAATACAAGCGTTTAAAAAACACTTTAAAAAAATACTAAACAAATTCCAAAAATCCTGAAAAAATAAAAGTTAAAAAGAAAATGTAGTTTCAGAAACATATAACTTTATGTATGCGCAAACTGTTGGAGATGTTCTAACTTTAGTTCAATCGGGGTGTCCGACCCGTCACTCACTCTCAGCCTCGCGGTCGGGCCCTAGATCTAAATTCTAGATTTTCTCCATCTGATCAATCTGAATCGCCCCAAACTCTTGCTACAACGTTTTCATCAAAATCTGAGCCATCTGATTTGTCCTATGCTTGTTTTTTGCTCAAATCCATCGTTATTTCCATTTTTGAACTCAGTTATGTCGCTTTTCAACAAGTCGAGACACTTTCGAAGTGTCGGTAACGCGATCGCGTTTCGATCAGCTCTAATACTAAAACTACTGGCCCGAAAAATTTCGTTTCGATATCAACCGAAAGAAGAAACTTTTTGCTATAACAAATCAAAATCTCGGCCCCAGGGTCTCGTCAAGGCGACACTTCGTTTCTAAAGACGCTAGGTCGCCGCGGGCGAGTCTGGGTGGAGCGTTTAAGGGAATTCCCTGGCGAGTTAGGGTGTAATGTGTTAATTGAGTAAAACACAGAACTTTATAATTAAGCTCAGCTGGTATCATGCTGAGTTATGGAAAGGATGGCCATGGTTAAAATCCTAGACTGGGCGTTCTTGAACTCCGCCGTCACTTTGTTGTGAGTTTTCAGAGCTCTCAAACCATTTGGCTTTGTCCTATTGGAGACAGACATTAAATTCGGCAGTCCTGCTTTTTGAATAACCTATTAAGAGTTGACAGGGGCATGGGGCATTTTACCTGTATACTCCCCCCCCCACGCCTCCTAAATGATGTAAATTGTGTGTTGATGCTCTTTTCTTTACTCAGTGGTAGGGTGGAAAATGAGAGCAATTGTGACTTTAAATAATTGTGTTAATGTTCTTTTCTTAACTCGGTGGTAGGATGGAAACTGAGAGCAATTGTGACTGTAAATAACTGTGTGTTGTATCTGGTCTCCTCTCCCCCAGGTGTGCGGCCTGAAATGGTCACCTGACCACCAGCACCTGGCCTCGGGTGGCAACGACAACCGCCTGTTTGTGTGGAACGCGACCAGCACCACGCCCATGCAGCACCACATGGAGCACTTGGCTGCCGTCAAGGCCATTGCCTGGTCGCCCCACCAGCACGGGCTGTTGGCCAGCGGGGGCGGCACGGCTGACCGCTGCATCCGCTTCTGGAACACGTTGACCAACCAGCCGCTGCACTGCGTGGACACGGGCTCCCAAGTCTGCAACCTGGCCTGGTCCAAACACTCCAACGAGCTGGTAAGCACACACTATCTCTGTTACTTCTTATTTACCGGTTATTGTGTGTGGGGGGGGGTGGTGGTGTTTTGGGTTTTTTTCCTTGCCCTTTCAAAGTGATGCCGTCTGATTAGTACAATGTTGCGTAGGTGATGTGTTAGCGATAGTCAACACTAGGTTATGAAAAGATGAGATTTTTAGATGGTAGTCTGTACGTTGTGAGTTTTTTATGGTTCGATTCATTTTGTCTTGTGACTTTTCTTAGTATTGCTAAGTTGTCCCTTTATGTTTGTGTGGTGTAAAAAGCGTTCGGTTGAGGGAGGATGTAGTTCTTGTGTGGTGTAATGTCGTTGACCAAGGTAATTGGTAGAACTGTGTCTGATTCAGATCAAGAATCGTTATGGGGTTAATGTCTGTAGCTTATGTTTTCTCTGTCTTTATATAACTCAGCATGAATTGGGGGAGGGGGGTAGAATTTTAAAAAAAAATTGTTTAGACACTCTCTGTGAAGAATGCTCTAGTGATCAATTAGACAGCAAAATATTTTAGTTGGGTTGAACAGTTCTGTACTTTCAAGGTCTTCCGTGTTTCTCTGTTTTCCGTTTGGTAGTTCTTAAAGTGTTCATTTCCATTAGGGACTGACATAATTCTGGCCGTGGTATGGTGAAGAAGAGTTGTGGCCGGGGTGGCTTTGTGTGAGCGGACAAGTTGCTTCCCACTGAGACTAACATGTCACTGGCACATGAGGAGCCGAGCCCCCCCCCCCCCAAAGAACTGAATTTAAAAATAGTGAACGTTGACGACTTGTTTTTGTTGTGGTTGCTCCAGACCGAAGGGCTAGAACCCAAATGGCCGCTGGATCGGAAAAGTAAAAGTCAGTTGTGGTTGCTTAGGCAGAAACATGTGAAATGAGTTGTTGCTTGAGACTGGGCTTTTGGGTTTGTTTTTTTTTGTTCACTTACATTGTTTTTCTCTCTTCTCTCTCCCACACACAGGTAAGCACACATGGCTACTCTCAGAACCAGATCTTGGTGTGGAAGTACCCGTCACTTGTACAGATTGCCAAACTGACGGGACATTCCTACAGGGTGCTCTACCTGGTGAGTCTGTGTGTCGCGACAGCGCAGTGCCCAGCCCAGTTTGTGTGTTTTGCAAGTTACGGAATTTTAAAAAGTTAAGAACTGTAGAAATGGTGGAGAGAAATATTTTCTTTCCAATTTTCAAGCTGGCTGCCGTTTCCATTTCAACGGCTTACATAATCGACTGTGTCAACAGTGCTTTTTTACTGCCTGTGACAAAAGTTGTTTCAGTTTAAAATGTCCCGTAAGTATTGAGCCCCCTTAATGCCCCATAAATGTCAAGTCCCATAATGTCTGATAAATGAAAGTCACACAATATCCCATAATGTCTGCTGAGCGTGTTAAGTCCCATGAACATGACGTCCGGGCTGTACTGACATTTGCCTGTTTGTCTGTGGTTGTCCAGGCGATGTCTCCAGACGGGGAAGCCATCGTGACTGGAGCGGGAGATGAAACTCTGAGGTTCTGGAACGTTTTCAGCAAAACACGATCAACAAAGGTACGTGCATGGGTGCTCTGCTGTGCTGTGTTCCTTCTTTCCTATCAAACATCCGTCGTTCTTATCTCTCCTCCTTCTTCTCTTTGTGTGTTACTCTCTAGTAGCAGCTCGAATCTTCAGCACTTATGTGACAAAAATGTGCCATAAAACCAAAGGCACATACCTGTATGTCTGTCTGTCTCTTCTCCTAGTCTCAGTGTCTTTATTAGGGTAGTGTGGGTGGTTGGAGGGCATATCTAGCTGGTCCTACTACTTTTGTCCCCCTCTGTTGTCTCTGTTTGGGTGTTTAGAGGGTGCCAATGGTAGGTCTTATTTGTTTTCTGCCCCACTGTTAATTCTGTTTGGGTGGTTGGAAGGTGCCACTGGTGGGTCCTACTTTTTCTCTTTCCATGTGTTATTTCTGTCTGTATGGGTGGTTGCAATACAACAGGAAAAAAAAAACACAAGTGGGAATAGGTCATTTGTACAGATTGTCTTATAATGGTGGCCGTTAAAGCAGGTTGGCCTGTATTTCTGCCATTTCCTCTGGTGGAATGAGGAGAGAAAGTTGGGAGATGTTATTTCTCCCCAAGCCTGTCACTCTGTTTGTGTTTCTGTCCTCAGGAGTCCAAGTCCGTGCTGAATCTCTTCACCCGCATCAGATAAACATTTGGCTGTGACCTTCACTTACGACCTTCACCACATTGTGTGTGTGGCCACCTTCACAGCATTGTATGTGTGAAGACCCAAGTGGAAAGTTGTCGAATCTTCATTCATTGTCTGGGAGTTGGGGTCTATGTGTGGATTATGAATGGGGCTTGAATTGGATAAGATTGACTTTGTGAGTAAATGATCCTTGTATCACTGAGTGAATGATCCTTGTATCGCTGAGTGAAAGATACTTGTATCGCTGAGTGAGTGTGAATGATAATTGTATCGCTGAGTGAATGATACTTGTATTGCTGAGTGGGTGTGAATGGTACTTGTATCGCTGAGTGAATGATGCTTGTATCGCTGAGTGAGTGTGAATGATACTTGTATCGCTGAGTGAGTGTGAATGATACATATATTGCTGAGTAAGTGTGAATGATACTTGTATTGCTGAGTGAGTGTGGATGATACTTGTATCGCTGAGTGAGTGTGAATGATACTTGTATTGCTATAGAAATTGAGTTTATTACTTCATGAGTGAGCAGCCCATTATTGCTGAGTGAATGTTTGTAACTTTGTTGTGGGGAATTCCCAGAGCCATACAAAATGACTGACCCCTGGAGTGTTCAGGTCTTGTGGAAGAACTGGGCCGGTCAGTCTGTGCGTCTGCTTATCTGGACTCTCTTTTTGTCAGTGTGTATGTTTTGGATCCTTTCGGGGGTTGTTGTTTTTTTATTTATGGTTTTAAAAAAACACCTTTGGTTATAATTGGATATATTGATCAAATTGTGATGGATTGTGTGGTATTAGTTGGGAGGAAAAAGTTAAGGCACGTTTTTTTTCTTCTGTCATTGAGAAGTAGGAGTATAGAGGGGAAGCTGATGGGAGTTTTGTGTGTGCTGTATAGTGGAGGCTTCATCTGAGACGGCCGCCCATTGTTGATGAGGTATGTGGTCCTCCCACAGTCTCGTTATAGCGTAGACAAAGACACAAAGAAGTGGGAAGCCACAGTTTTTATAGAGGTGATTGTCTTATACAGGTGGTCGTTGGAGCAGGTAGGACTGTAATAGTTGAGAACGGATGGGACTATGTGGGGAAGTTTTACCAAGGAAGATGTTACAGGAAAATAAAACTGACGTCTGTGGTGTAGTGGACGGGGTCTTCACTGTCGCACGCAGGAGACCCGAGTTCAATTTCGAAGTGAGGAAAAAATTCTATGGAGTGCGGTATCGCTGTCTTTCTGCTGGGATGGGGTGGCCCTGATAAGCAGGCTCGTAGCCCACCTCCAAAATGGTCTAGATTGTGTTACTTGGAAAGGGGGGGGGGGGTGTGGCGGCTTTGAAAACAACTGTTTGACTGTATTTCCATGTTAATGCAAGTGGGGAGTCAGTATTATTTTTGAAATTTTTTGCTGTTGCTGTACTGTATTTCCACAGCCACGTGGAGTATCTGTCACTTTGTATGTATCATGTGTCATTGTGTGTTGATTTGGGTTGGGGGTTTTTTTTAGATACGGTACTGCAGTACTTCTGGGCATCTTGTCTTGTCAGTGAATTGTCGTGATGTCACGACTGTGGCTGTTGTTGGCATTTGTTTTTATTTGGGGGGGGGGGGCAGTTCTGCATTACTTTGCTCAGTTGTCGAGTTGGAACTATTTAGTAGCGTAGTGTATGTTATAGCGGGCGAACATTGCATGTACGTGTACCAGGCTCGTTTAGTTGTTCTGGTTTTTTGAAACCGTGGCTGTCACAGTTGTCTGTACAGGCCAAAGTGTGTGTGTGACTGTATGGGTATGTCTGGGATATGTGATAGTTACACTGGAAAAATTTCTTTGCTTTGTGATGCTTGTCTTGTCTGTGTGTTTGTTTTGTCTGCCTGTGTGTGTGTGATGTTTGTTTTGTCTGTGTGAGGTTACCTTGGATTGTACAGACATAAGACAGGGCTGTGGACGGTGCAGGAGATAACGTGTTGGGCCAGCGGTGGGTGTACTTGTGAGACTTGGGTGTGAGGAATGTTTCGTATGTTGGCCGGACATGAGGCGGAGGTTTGTATATATATAGCTGAGAGGAGAGTGCGGGCAAAGTTGTTCAGGTGATGCTTTGCAGGGGTGGGTTGTGACGTTTGCAAGATGACCAGTTGGGTATACAGCACACAAAGTGGTGACTGGCCTTGGGAGACGGATGATTGTTTATTTTTTGGTCTGGTGTGTAGATTGTTCATGGTTTCTGTCTCTGGATAATATAATGTCTTGCAATAACGTATGTTATGGAGTTGTTTTTTTGGGGGTTTTATGGACAGCATGCACAGTTTGTAGACATTTTATGCCTGAAATTATCAGTTGTGGTCTTTAAGTAACAATGTTGACACAAGTGTCGTTTCCATGATTTAGATAAAAATTAACTTTTGCTACTGTTATTTTCGAACATTTTGATACAAAATAACTTGCATACATACAAAAATGTTTTTAAAAATGTACACGACGGAGCATGAGATGTGGCATCCACAGAAACTGGGAGCAAAACGAGTTATGTGTGAGGTTCTACTTGAGTCACGGTGTGTGTGTGTGTATCTGGCCAGGAAGTAGGCTGTAGACCAGGGTTCCTGCGGGAAAACTCTTTGAATTTACAATCTGGGAAAACTTTCCCTCAAAACTTCTTGAATTTGTGGAATCTCCTTGAAAACTCCTTGAATTTCACCTGATCGGACACAGAACAAATTTTTTGTCGGAAAATCTAAACTACGATTCCTTTCTGACAAGTGTAGGCCTATTGGAAATAGGCTTTTGGTATGCATTTCTTGACCAAATCTGGAATTTTTTAAATTTCTCCTTGAAATCTTAAATTTGGTGGGGATTTCCTGTCAGGAACCCTGGACATAGACGTACACGTGTTATTTATCCGCTCTGTGTGGATGGGGGTGGGGTAGGATTGGGGCTATATCGTCGCTGTCACTCATTGCCGAATGTCAAAATAGGTTCACGGGAGAACTGTTGTTTTGTTTTTTTATTTCTCTCAGCATGTTGTCTTAATACAATATGTTCATTTCATCGAAATCCGTTACTATTTTAAGAAGAGGAATGAGACTTGGGCCAATTTATGGGTGTCGTCAAACTCAACAACATGGGCTGCTTGATTTTCAAGTTTTTAGAAATTTAGATGTTGTTTCTGTCTGTCTGTCTTTCTTTTATCCATCACTAAAAATGACCATTATTGTGTCGATGTACTTCTCTTTTTTCAAACTCAAACACGAAGTTTTGACACACTGCAATACTGGCAGACGCAGATGATTTGTGATGACTTAAAACTGTGCATGGGTGTAGTGGATGGCTTGTTTCTCCCCTCCCGGGA